TCCCCTGTTGTATATTCCCCCCTGCCCTCCCCGAACAGTCCTGTTTCACAAAAGAAGGCTTTTTTATTTGCTCTGCAAGGGAGGGGGAGGAAGGTGGGAAAGGAGGGCAGGGGAAGGGAGGAGTGGGGAAGGAAAGGCACACAGAGGTAATGCAAGGGCACCTTCTGGAGAGGCACGGGGGAAAGTCTCACAGCTGGCCTTGTACAAAACTCTCCTGATGAGTGCCCTCCCCGAACAGTCCTGTTTCACAAAAGAAGGCTTTTTTATTTGCTCTGCAAGGGAGGGGGAGGAAGGTGGGAAAGGAGGGCAGGGGAAGGGAGGAGTGGGGAAGGAAAGGCACACAGAGGTAATGCAAGGGCACCTTCTGGAGAGGCACGGGGGAAAGTCTCACAGCTGGCCTTGTACAAAACTCTCCTGATGAGCACAGCCCCTTGACGTGCTCTCTGTATGGTGCTGGTGTCTAGCTGCTTGTATGCCCCAGCCAGACATTCAGCCTCTGCCCCCCCCACCCTGGCAATAAGTCTCCCCCCTGCTCTCACACAGGTGGCGGAGCACACAGCAGGCCAGCAGCACGAAGGGGATGTTGTCCTTGCTGAGGCCCAGATGGGTGAGGTGACTCCTGAACTTCCCCTTTAACTGGCCAAATGCACATTCCAGCTCCATGCCACACCTGCTCAGCCTGGTGTTGAAGTGCATCTTGGTGTGGGAGTATCCAGGCTGCTCATCTAAAGTTTCATGGAGCAAAGGGTAGGCTGCGTCGCCCAGGATGCAAATGGACATGTCTCTCATGGTGTGGTCAGGGAAAAAAGTGCCAGCGTGCATCTTTTGGAATAGGCAGAAGCTCCAGAAGATGCAGGCATCATGCACCTTTCTCGACCAGCCAACGACCTCAGTGAATAATACTTTATGATCCACGAGGGCCTTCAGCACCATGGTTGATGTAGTCTGAGGCCTGGTGGTCAGGGGCCAGGATGGGGCTGAGAGTGCTGTCTATGGCCCCCTGCAGTTGGGGAAGCCCATGGCGGCAAAGTTGTCCACAATGCTGTCCACATTCCCCAGAGTAACGAGCCTCTGTAGCAGCATGTGGTTGACAGCCCGGGCTACCTGCAGGAGCAGGGTCCTGACTGTAGATTTCACCATGCCAAACTGGTTCCCAGTGTAGCAGCAGCTGTCCGGCGTGGCGATCTGTCACAGGGTGATGTCAATACACTTCTACACAGGGATGGCAGGTCTCAGTTGGGTGTTCTGTCACTTGAGGGAAGGGGCGAGCCACTCGCAGAGCTCCAGGAAGGTGGTCTTCTACATGCTTAAGTTCTGGAGCCACTGCTGGTTGTCTGATAGCTACAGGACAATGCAGTCTCACCAGTCCAAACTGGTCTCCCGCCACCAGAAGTGGCGCTCCACGATGTCCAGGGGATTGAGGGGCATGCACAGCAGCAGGAGCACCAGGACCTGGGTTATCAAGGACTGTGGTCCAGCTGGTCATTGTCCTGCTGGAGCAGCATGCGGTCAGTTTGTAAGTACCATGCCATGAGGTGCAGCATGAGGCTCGTGAGCCTGGCACTGCTTTGCAGCCACTCCGGCTCCATGCTGTGAGTGCTGTGGCATCCGCAAGGGCAACCAGAGCACACTGCATCCATTTTGTGTGCCACGAGGGGGAAGGCAGTGGAGGAGTGGTGTGTGAGATGCGGCCATAGAGAGGAGCCCCTCAAAACATGCATTGCAGCTTGCTGGACCAAGCAGCCCCTGGAAGTGTCTGCGCTCCTGGTGCCCTCCCCAGAGTGCTTCCAAGGACTCCAAGTCCAAGGCAGGCGCCAATCAGTGTGGACACACTATTTTGAAATAATTCTGACTGATTTCAATGCTCCCCCATAGTGGGAACATGCTATTTCAGTTTTGTTAACTAAATTAGAAATAATTCCCAATTTATTTCCAGGCATGGCCCCACCCACCCTCCACCCCCAGAATGCCTGCGGTAGGTGTTCTGGGGACAGAGTGTTGCTGCTCCAGGGCTGGGGATGCCAGGCCAGGCCCCATGGCATGCCCTCCTCTCTCTCCCAGTATTCCACAGCTGGGCAAGCCAGGTGGTGCAGCACATCCTACCTACCTCTTCCCTTCCCCGGTGCTCAAGAGGTTGGGCTGGGGCAGGCCATGCAGTGCAGTGCGGTGTACCTTCCACCAGGGCTGGGGAGGCTGTGGCAAGCGTGTGCCCCCTCACCGGCTGTTAATGGTAATTTCAAAATAATTTCCTAGTGTAGATATGTCTTTACTGAAAGTATCAATTCAGAGAGAATTGCTTAGAGACAAGGCTACTTACGGCCCAAGACGGGGCTTCCACAATAAGGCACACTAAACCAGGCGCCAAGAGCACTTCAGTTTACCACACTGGCTAACAAGAAGTCATACAAACAATTCCCTCACACACTCCATTTCTCTTGTGCTTGTGCCACCTCCGGTAACACCCCTTGTACAGCTGCGATGTTATGAAAACCAATCTCTTCCAATTCCACAGGACTAGCCACATCCCCAAACCAATTTGTAACTGCGAATCTTACACAAACTGCATGCCATCACCAACTCTTTCCTTAGACTTTAAAGGAGAGTTAAAAATCTAACAATTTTAGATTTAGGTTTCTTTGATTTACCCTTCCTTTTTATAAAAAAAAGTGCAATTGTGGGATGTGAAGTTCTTGGTTCATGCTTGTAACAGTAATGGAATAAACTGCTGGCTTAAGTGAAGTCTTTGGAGTACATCCACTTGTTAGGATGGGCCATTCAGTCCTTTAGTCCTCCAGAGGTGAGAGACAGGATTGAATATAAAATGAAGTCCCTATGGTATTCTATATTCTTGGCCACGAGGAGGGACTCCCATTGTTCTTGCTGTGGAAAAGTACAGCTACAAGATAGTGTTTGTCATGTGAGCAAGTCACCTGTCCATGCATGACTCAGTTCTTTACAGGTAGAAGCCATTGCTTCCAGGCTAGTCTGAACGCTCACAGTAAAGCTCAGCAGATGTGGACTGGCACCTCCTAAGATAGATTGTCAGTCAAGTACTTCTACATAACTTGAATAGCTGAGACACTGGCCAAGCCTCCAGCTGGTGTCTCCCAGAAGCACACATTTGAAATACAAGTACATAGCCAATACACAGAGACAATACACATAAGTTCAAATATAAAAATGATACATACATATGAATGGCATAAACATAAGCAGTGAATTGTAAACTTCTCACAGACACCTCACTTGTCCCACTTTGTGGCAGCCACTGTTCTGGTTGCATTCGATTTTGTACAATGATTTGTTTGGCCAGATCATAAGTCAGTAATATCACATACTCTGCTCCATGTATTGGCTGATAATAAGCACTGCAATCGCTCTCCACTTCCTGCTGCCCCAGGTGCCCTTAGGTAGCATAGCCGCTCCCTGCCCTGTGCAGACCTATTGACCCTGTGGCAGTATAATGGCTCCAAATCTGCTGTCCACTACTACTAGCGGCTTTAATGCAGGAGCTATCCCAGCCTGCACCTTCTACTGCCCCAAGTTTCCAAAAGGTCACTCTCTGCTGCCCTTAATAATTGTTTTGTAGGATTAGACCAACAAAGCCTAATCAAGGAGCATGATGTTTTGCAGGATTTTGTTTTGCAAATACAGCAGAAATCTGTATTAACTTTTCTGTGGTTTTAATGGTAAAATAATCACTGTTTTTTGGACACGAAGTAAACGTGTATTTATACCTCAAGTATCCTGCAGCTGTCTCAACACTATAGCTTACCATGGTTTTGCTTCAGTGTTTTGGCCCATTTTGTACAACAAGTTGTAATTGTATTAGAATAATTTGATATGATTTAGAAGTCACTACCACCTCATAATTGGGATTGCAGTGGGGTGTGTGGAGGAATTAAGCTGGATTAGAATCTATGGTCAAGTCTGTGTTTAAACCATTGATTTAACAAGTTTCTAAGGCCAGGCAAGCTGTTTTCAGCTATGTCTAGACTGCAGAGTTTT